TCGGGTTCAGGCTTGGGGTGTAGGGCTTCGTGGGTGGAAGAGGGAGTGCAGCAGGAAAAGCTGCCTGAGCCACCGGCCGTCATCATGCGATGGCCGGGCTCCACGCTCAGCATCCGTTTGGCCACGCCCTATTTGCATGTTCATGGCCAGTTTTAACTGGGAATATACAGGTGGGAGAACTAGAGTTCTAAGTGCTTCTAACCTTATTTCAGGTACTTAGAACTACTTATCGGTACCCATGAGCCTTGAAGTAAGGACACGAACCCCCTTGGCCAGAAGCCCCGAAGGCCCTGCTTTTGAAGGTTCACATGTTGTCAATACCCTGGTTTCTAAACCCTAAACCCTAAACCGTAAACCCTATACCCTAAACCCTACACCCTAAACCCTAAACCCTAAACCTAAGGTACGGAGAGCCATACTTCGAACCGACCCGTGCACGGAGCCCCCCCCGGCAAAGACCTCTCAGGCATGTTAAGCTGTTAAGCTGGGCCTTCGAGAAGCCTCGCGATCGAAGTCCATTTAGGGTTTAGGGTTTAGGGTTTAGGGTTTAGGGTTTAGGGTTTAGGGTTTAGGGTTTAGGGTTTAGGGATGTCCGAAGGCGGGAAGGAGGGAGGCTTCACCCTCAGCCCTCAGGGGAAACCTACACCCTAAAAAGGTTGCACCATGCGGTTTTCAGCAATGCCTGGGCCCTAAACCCTAAACCCTAAACCCTAAACCCTAAACCCTAAACCCTAAACCCTAAACCCTAAACCCTAAACCCTAAACCCAGGCATTTCGGCTGTAAGTGCACGATTGCAAGTCTTTTTCAGATTTGGTCAAGTCGACCACACCGCCCCGTTATCCTTAAGGGAGGGGCAGATTTCACCGCCTTTTGCAATGTCGGGTTCGCAAGGCCAGCAGATTGATGCTGGAGCTATCCAATCGTTTCAGGACCAGCGCAAAGTCATGCGCACAGGGGGCTACGACGCAGTTCAGCACGTATACTGGCAGCATCGGACTTCGCAGAAGCGCGGCCCGCCAACACCGGGAGAGTCTTCGCTTGCGACCACACCGCAAGACGAGCCAGCGGCAGCAGCTTCGAGCCAGCAGTCCCAGGAACCCACCCTGATCCAGCCGCTCGCCTTCGACGACGCCACTGCCGTTTCCCTCACAGCCAGCAACGTCGGTGTGGATATCAACAAGCCCGGCAACGTGGAGCAGTGGTTGCAAACCAAGGTGACCACAACGCAGGATGTGGTTAGACTCATCCGAGGCTACCACAAGGGCGTCATCAGGCCGGAGCTGTTCAACATGGCCTTGCAGCTGGAGACCGCCATTAAGACGATCGACGACAGGGTCTTCCAGTGCAAGAAGGAGCTCAGTTGGATGGCGTCAGAGAACAGGGCCCAGCAACGACATGCATGCGGGCTACAAGTCATCCTTTCAGGATGGCCCGCCGGACTCAAGCCGGAGATGCGCTTGTTCCAGATCGGGTGGATGCTGATGCAGGTCCCGGAGATCAAGAACTTCCTCAGCATCAGGGGTCACATCAACGACCACACCGCCAGAGAGTGGGGGAGGTACTTCAACGTCCTGACCGCCGACCCAGTGACCATACCGCAGGGTCAATTCTGGAGCACCATCACCATGATCGCTTTCCGCTCCTGGTCGGAGCGGCAGGCGTTCATGAGCAAGTTCGCCGGCGGCTCCGGGACGCCCCTCTACACCGACGAGAACACACCGCAGCATGGGAAGCACGTGAAGGTTTCCCCGTGCAGCCCACAGTGGCAGAGGAAGCTGGAGTCTCCGTTGAGAGTGGTGCTAGCCTGTATCAACGCGCACCCCGACTACAACGCCCCCACGCTGGTGATCCTATGGAAAACCCTCACGCTCATGGCGCCGTCCGAGTCCAAGGAGTTCCAGGAGGATAAGATCGCGTGGGCCAGGCTCTTCTACGCGGTGGAGAACGACGAGTTCAAAGGGCGCTTGGAGATCCACCCCGACCTCAACCGGCTTCTGAGGTCGGGGCCGGAGGACATCAGCTCCAAGGAGCCCTCGCTCTGGGAGGAGCAATGGAACCGAATCCAAGACGGACCACAACGCGAACTCGGCCGCTGAAACGGAGCTGTACGGGCAGGCGAAGAAGGAGGCGATGGGTTCCGGGAAAGGAATTCAAAAGGGAAAGCCGTCCCGCCACTGGAGTACCATCCTCACCTACCACAACGCCAAGGAGCCGTTCCCGTTCGAGTTGGACATCGTCCTCTGCGACCACATCGCCTTTTGTTGGGACGAATATTGTGAAAAAGCTGGCGCCCCGGGCGAGAAGGTGGGCAACCTGAAGGCCTGTACATACCAGGGTAAGCCAGAGGTGCCGTCGGCGGCCATGGACCGCACCGCCATGACGCCAGGATTTTCCGCAGACCCGGCGCAACTCCCGGTCTCAGCAAAGCTTTCCACCGCCGCCCCAGCTTCCAAAGCCGCAGTGTTTTCGGCGAAGGGAGGCAGGGGTAAGCAGGCCTGATGTTTTGGCCACAACACGGCCACACCGCCAAGCTTACAGCTTTTGCTTGGCGAGTATTTTATCAAGTATGGCTGCCGGTTCACCTTTGAATATTTTCTGAAGAACCAGGCCAGGCCTCCACTGAATTCGTTTAGGATCCCTGACTCAACAGGCTACACCGCCAAGCATGGGCATGAGGAATGGGCGGCTAGACATCACAATCAAAAGCAGCACTCCCTGGTTGGTAACATTCCCCTCAAAATTTCATGGCAGCATGACCACATCAAAGCCAAAGTTGTGTTAGACCTCAATGCACTAATCCCCTCAGCAACCCAGCCTCAGTATTCTCGCGAAACCCTGTTAATACATAGAACTTCCCATAAGCAGGCTTTATCCAAACACTTAGTATTGCCCCGAACTGAACCTGCCCAATATGTGACCACACCGCCTGTAGTCTCACCAAAGCCCAAACAAGGAAGGTCTGGTAGAAGAAAGAAGATTCGAGTATCCCCAGACAGAACCATCTTTATTAAGCCCAAGGTTTCTAAAAGAAACGCCTCAAGTACAATAATTCAAAGAATTCAAGGGCTTCCGCCCACACCGCCTTGCCGATCACCGCCTCCTAGAGGCATGCCGGGGGCCTCGTGGCCTAACGAAGAGTGTACCCCACAAGGTGGGGGGAAAACAACACAATCCAGGGGCTCACAGAGGCGGGCGGCTCGCAGAAGAGCCTACCGCCACTGGAGAAGGATGTGTAAACAGCAAAGGGATTTAGGGGCGGGCTCCCTAGATCCCTCCCCCCACATGCTCAAAAAAGCCTCCCTTAACAAGGCCAAATGGTTTAGACAGCACGTTCTACGCCAACAAAACAGAAGAAGGGAGAAGAAGAGAAGGGTCAGGGTAGCACCGACCACACCGCCTCTAGAGTATGGGGCTAAGCTTCGGATAGCGACCTTGAATGTACAAGGATTTGCAGACGCCCTGAAGCTAAAAACTGTGTTGCAATTAATGTCTGAGAATAACCTGGATGTAGTCACCCTCTCGGAGACTAAGTCCACACAGTATTATTCTTATACATCTGAGCAACATCTGGTGGTGCTCTCTGGAAATCACAAAGACAAACATGCCGGAGTAGGTTTGGTCATAGCCCCAAAGCTCAGACCACACCTAGCAGACATCATACAGGTTAACAGTAGAATCATCCATGCAGTATTCCGAAAGAAAGGAGGTGACGTACATGTAGTTGGTGTATATGCTCCCCATTCAGGTCATGACTTTGAAACAGCAGGCTCCCATTTTGGGACACACTTGAAACACACCTCACAGATATACCCCAGCCCGAACCAGTGTATGTCACAGGAGACTTCAATGTAAGGTTCCAGGCCCAGCACAAGAATGACCTGGGGGTTACAGGTCCGTATACCTATGGCAAAGGCCCACAATTCATTGACCACACCGCCCAGTCGAACCGTTCGCTCTGTGTGAAAACTATGAAACTCCAAAACATGGTAGAGATCGCATCGTACAAGACCACAACGCCACTAGACCAGGTTACGTATAGAGATAAGTCGGCCCCGCCGCCAGACTGGTCCCAGTTCTTGTTGGATCCTCTAATCCTCCAGCAGGTGTACACTACCATGCACAGGCAATTAGGGGACGAACTCGCTCGTAATTGTGCACAACAGGTTCGAGCCTTTTTAACAAGTGAACTCCCCCTACCCCCTCCCCTCCCTCCGCCGTCAGCGGACCCTATCCGCTTCCAGGGGCTGGACCACACTTTCACCAGGCAACAATGGCTACCATCGGTACACTCCTGCAAGTCTAAGTTACACACGGGTTTCCCTAGCGACCACTACCTGCTTGTCACGGAGATTCGAGTCAAACTTAGGGCTACACCGCCAAAGCAGCCGACACAATCCCGAAGGCCTCGTGCTCCGACTCCTTCGGAAAAATCTCACTACAACGCCCTCCTTAGGGGACAGGAAGCGCGCGACAATCTCCCCATAGCAGAGAGCGTACCGCGGAAAGCAACGTTCTTTACAGATGGGGCCGGTACCGGGGGTAAGTGTAGGGCAACAACACCTGCGGGCTGGGGTTGGACGGGAAGCATCGACCACACCGCATTTGAAGCCTCAGGACCGGTGATCACCATGCCGGATCACGCAGCGTACTTGGGAGCCGCCGTAGGTTCCAACAACACGGGGGAACTTACAGCAATTTTTGAGGCTCTACTGTTCGCAGAAGCGCAGGGGTGTACGGCAGTCCGCATTCATTCGGACAGCCAATGGGCTATTAAGGTTTCTACCGGCGCATGGAGGGCTAGCTCACACAAAATACTCGTAAATCAGGTCAAGCGCATAGTGGACCACACCGCCATGACAGTTTCCTTCCACTGGGTTAAAGGACACTCCGGGGTTAGCGGAAATGAGAGGGCGGATAGACTGGCAGCGCAGGGTAGGGACACACAACAAAGAACCGGAGGGCGGGACCTAGTGCTACCGCCCCCACCCCCACAACCTATAGGACCGACCACACCGCCGGATGAGCTGGTCAGACAGGCGCTAAAAGCTGCCAACCTAGCGTTTTCGCCAACGGAATTTCCCGCTAGAACCCCATGGATCACACCGCCAACATTAAGCGCATTAGCAGAAGCCAGACAAGCCAACGCCAAAGGTTGGGCCACGGCGAGAGCACTAAGGAACAAGGCGAAAAGAATGGCGCGCAAGGACAAAGTGGCCTGGGTACACCGCCAACTGTTAGAAGACCCACATGCAGAACACTCCAAAGTTTGGGACGTAGTAAGACGTCAGAAAAAAGGATTCCAGGGCAAGAAAACACATTTGGTGGTAAACGGCAAACCAGTCCCTTGGTCACAACGCCACATCGCTATGAAAAACCATCTAGAGACTAAGCAGTGGAAATGCAGACCGAGACCACCCAACTCGAACACAACACTGAAGGCGCGGCCACAACTTCACCCCACACAGCAAGACGAAGAGCAGTTTACCCTCGAAGAATTACAGGTGGCGCTTAGGAAACTAAAGCGTAACAAGGCTCCAGGACCAGACCAGTCCTCCAACGAACTTTGGATCTGGCTGGACTCCCACGGCGAGCTCCAATTGTTAAGCACGCTAAACGAAGTTTGGAACTCCGAGACCATACCGCCATCATGGACACACGCTGTCGTGGTCACTATCTACAAAGGCAAAGGGGACGATACCGACCCAGAGTCCTATCGACCTATTTCCCTCCTCAATACGATGTATAAATTGTTTGCTATGATGATGCAGACGAGATTAGCCCTTCAGTCGGAGAAAAAGTTGCGACAGACACAATACGGGTTCAGAGCCTCTAGGGGCACCAAGCATCCGTTGTTCATACTTAGAAGAGCTATGGAGTACTCAACCATGACTAGTAATCCGATGCATTGTTTATTCCTAGATTGGAAGCAGGCGTTTGACTCCGTGGACCACACCGCTCTCATGATTGCTCTGGAACGGTTCGGGTTATCAAATAAAATGCTCAAGCTCATAGAAGGTATCTATCAGGCGCCTACATTTGAGGTAAAGGGCATTTGCCACACCGCAGCTAAGGGGCAGGTACAGGCTGGTATTCGACAAGGATGTCCGCTAGTCCGTACCTTTTCATAATAGTTCTCACAGTAATACTCTCAGATGTAGACGCGGGACTTTTGGCTGCAGGCACCCCCACTAACACATGGTCGGTGCAGTACCCCCATTATGACTTAGAATACGCAGACGATACGCTCCTCCTTTCCTTGACCACACCGCAGCTTACTAGCATGCTACATCATCTTGAGGCGGAGGCGGAGCACTACGGCATGACACTAAACACAGGTAAGACAGAGCTGCTTACACACCCAGATAGACCAAACCCAGCCGTCAGGTTTAGAAGCGGAGACTTAGTACCGACCACACCGCAGGTAAAGTACCTGGGGAGCATTATCTCTTGGAAAAATGCATTCGAACACGCGTTTCGGCACAGAGCTGCCTTGGCGGAATCAGCTTTTAAGAAACTACGACTGGTATGGAACAGTACGCTACATAGGAAGGCCAAGCTTAGACTATTCCAGTCGACATTCGTGCCTATACTCATATATGGACTGGACACCATTACAATTAAACACCAGGAACTACACCGCGTGGATGCCTACTTTATCCGATTTTTACGCAGAGTTATAGGTATCAAAGCTTCATATTACTCACGCATCACAAACGAAACGGTTTGGCAGCAAGCAGGCAAGCCGACCAAACCGTCCGAAACCCTTCTCTCTCTCCAACAGAACAACTTTGTGGAGATATTTACCACCTCGATAGAAGAACCCTACCACAATGTTGTCTTTGCGACGGCCTTTAAAGATAGGATCCTGGTCAAGGGCAGAAGGCGCGGTATGCAGATTCCATATTGGGCAGAGATACTCAGTAAAAGACACTTCCCAAAACTATGGAACGCAGGCCACAACGCCAAAAACCCACACGAAAAGTACCTCTTCATAGCCCGCCGAGTCAGGGATTCCTCTTTTGGGAAGGCGCCAAAGCGCGCGCAGAGTTCGCGCGCACGGCATCCCTAAAAAAAACCCAAAACCCTAAACCCTAAACCCTAAACCCTAAACCCTAAACCCTAAACCCTAAACCCTAAACCCTAAACCCTAAACCCTAAACCCTAAACCCTGCTTTTCTCAAGGCCAGCCCTGCCGGCGTCAAGAAGTTCTCCTGGACCCTCGGGCTGCACCAGTAAGAGGAGAGGCAATACTTGGAGGTTCATGGGTAGTTATAAGTCGGGTTATAAGTACCCTGAATGGTTTAGGGGTTTAGGGTTTAGGGTGTAGGGCTACCTATGAACCTCCAAGTGTGGGAGCTCCAATCTGGGTGATGGTCCTCGTCTGCTCTACACTACAATGGGCAGAGACCATGGGGGCCCATAAGCCCAAATCCCAAACCCCAAACCCCAAATTTAAGCCCTAAGCCCTAAACCCTAAACCCTAAACCCCAAAGCCTAAA